GTTCTAGAAAACTACCTGACCTAAAAGAATTAAAATGTTTTGAAATCAGTGACCTGAAAGGTATTATAAGTATATTGTGAGACCTAAGCACCTACATGAATTTTAGAAATATTTAGATATCAAAGGTCAAAGAGAAGACAAGAATTAAGGGTGAAAAGATATTCTGCTTACTAGAATTCACCCACAATAAGATGCTATTAATTTCTTTGACCAGCCAAAAGGTTTTAAAGGAAAAAGAAAATTCTTTTCAATTGTGTTGGCTAAAAAGTTTGTAAATTTCCAGGTTTTGAAATGTATGAAGCACTTCTGCATGTAGCCGGATAAACAGAGAGTGGGATTTTGATTGATTTTCTTTAATTAAGATAATCTTGAGTTTGGGAAGCTCTAAAGCAAAACTGGAAATGGTTTTAATCCCATCTCATGATTTATTTATGGATTATTAAAACTCCATCATTAATTGAAATTATAATTCAGAATGGCCCATTACCAGAAATAAACAAAGAATGATTTCCCCTCCTGGACTTCATAAGCCAAATATGCCTAGATGATTGGGCTTATCTCAATTATTAAGGTCCCAGGGGCACCCTCCCTCCTACCGCCATGCCTTTGCAAGTACCCTTAAAGGAAATTAAAGATAATTTCCCCCTGATCTACAGGTTGAAATATCAGCAATACTTATTACTACCAGGAGCGAGTTTATATGCTTACATGTTTCCAGGTTCAGCACCAACATTGACAATGATAAGTTGGACTGATGAAAATCGATCGATACCATTTCCCACACTTCACTTCTGTAATGCTTTCCAGGGTTACAGGTGATTAACTACAGAAGAATATGTCATCAGTAAAAATTAGTGTTATCTGTGGCCTGTGTTTATTGGTTATTTAATTCTTATAAGTCAAATAACTTTGACTTAATGTGATTTTAAATTATATTAAAACCACCCAAACCAGAACCAAAATATTTGTTAAGATCTAAAGCTCCAATATTCATGATGAATGAACTTTAGCTTAGATTTATCCTTTGTCTAAGTTAACTGTATTACCTACAGTCATAAGTTTGTATGATTTAAAACATGAGAAAAGAAATTTCTCCATCTTAGGTGACCAAAGTCTCTGACTTAAGGAAGTTCAGGTGTCAGCATACCCTGTTTTAGATGAACAGTGGGTGTGAAGAATAATCCTATAGTGTGGTCAGGGATCAGTGAAATATCTGGGCAAAACAAAAACAAAAAGCAAAAAACCCACTGCCATCACCAAACAGTATACACGTACTCTCCCAACCAGCTCACCAACTTGGGGACACACATTTCTGGGAGTTGTGGTGGAGGTCAGGGCTCACACGCCTGCAGAGGTGGAAGGTCATCTTCTGTAGCATTTCTTAAAGGAGCTTCTGTGGGTGGATAAGGCCCTTGAGATGTTCTATTGCAAAAGGGTTCTGAGGACAAAGAAATTTAAGACGTGCTATATATTCCACTCCTGCTTGGACATTCTTTCTTCATGTTAATTTATTTTAAAGCCATTGAGAACTTACTTCTCCAGATAAGACAAATGACCATTTCTGCTTCTCCAGTATTACCCAACATTGTTTGATCATGAGCTTCTTCCCCAAGCTCATAAAGCTTATTGACATTGAATGGCATTTGTTTCTTGAAACACACTTTGGGAAACGCTGATCCTCAAAGTGTAAAGGCTGACAATGGAGGGAAGAAAGAATCTGTACAGAGCAACGGAGAAAGAATCAGAGGGCCCAAGCTTCTGAGAGGGCGCCAGTGTCCTCCGGAGACCACTGTACAGTGTCTGTGATATCCACCTGATTCTGTCATTTGAATCTTCACTTTAATTCCCCCAGGGTGGGAACAGAACTGGGTTGGAAGTGAGGAGTCATGGATTCCATTTTCCCTTCTGCAGCTGAGAACCTTTGGACAATTAACTTCCTAAACTGAATCTCTTTTCTCCATTATAAAATCAGAGTTTAAAGAAATAATCTTGATTGTCCTTTCTAGGCCCAACTAGATGATTCTACCTCAACTTTTATAATGGGAGAAAAAGAGAAGATAAGATTTGCTTGAATTCTCTTCATGACCAACTTCTCTGGAGTGCAAAAGGAATGATGTATGAAGTAGAAATCCTGTAATGCAACTGTATGTGGATCGGTGATTTCTAAATCCTCATTATTCTGGCCCCTCTGATTGAAGGTTGAGTCACAGGGGCAATCTGGATTAAAGCTGGTTTTAGTACTGTACTTGCTGTCACTCAACTGTCTCCCTCCACCCCTAGTAGTCCAGAAACTTTCAGCAGCTAGATCTTTAATTAAAGCCAAAGGGCAACTTTAAAATTAGTTCTTTTAATTAATTGTCCTGCAGGTTGAACAATCTGTGATTGCACTATCCTTGGTTATTAAACACAGTTTGCACTTCAAAAAAAAAAAGTCAAGATATAGTTGAAATGACTGATTTAAATGAAGCTAATCTAAAAATATGGAGAAACACAATAGGGCAAATTATTATGCAAAAGTGCCTGTGTATTTTGCATATGCCAGTATTTTCCTTTAATATAATATAAAATTAAATTAATTGGAGAGAGCAATTATAATTGCCAGGGAAGCTAAATCATTGATCTGATGTCACATATTAGCTGACTGTTGTTTTTCCATGATTCTCATTACCTAGGTTCAGTAACTAAATAATAATTTAGAGACTAAAGACTTAAAGTCACTTGTTAAGTTGCATCCCAAAATATATGAAACAAACTGAGTCAGTCCCAAAACGGACACCAAATTATCTTTAAAATATATTCTCATAGTGCATCAGCCTATTTTTCCAGGATCCATCTGTAATAGTTTCAGATATGACATTCCATACACATTTAATTGGAAAGGTAGAAATCAAGGTCCTGAAAGTGGAAACTAATCAACTCTTCCCTACCGATACATCTGCCATCAGACAAATCTTCTGTCCTCTCACGCTGGATCTGATCTCTAGCAGTGGTTCTCAAGCATTATGGCACATTAGAATTGCCAGGGGAGGTTTAAAAAATTTCCAATGCCCAGGTTGCACCTGAGACCTATTAAATCAGACTCTTTGGGGATGCAACCTAGGCATCGATAGTTTTATAAACTTCCCAGGAGATTCTAATATGCAGCAAAATTTGATGACCAGTGAAGCAGTACAGCCCAGTCAATGAATTGCCAAGTTAATTGGCTGTTCCATTTTGGTTTAAAATTATGTATGAAGCATATCTATTTTTAGTTTTCAACTCTTCAGTAGAAATAGCCTTAAGATAGGGACACCTGGATGGCTCAGTCAGTTAAGCACCTGACTCTTGATTTTGGCTCAGGTCATGACCTCAGGGTTGTGAGACTGAGCCCTGCATTGGGCTCCACGCTTAGTGTGGAGTCTGCTTAAGATTTTCTTTCCCTCTCCATCTGCCCCTATCTGACTTGTGTGTGCTTTCTCTCTCTCAAATAAATAAATCTTAAAAAAAAAAATCACCTCAACAGAAATGAAGCTACTCCTTTAAAAAAGGACAAATATAATGTAAAGTGGATAATAAGAGGCCATGGTAGATACCTTTGGGAGTGTTTACTTGGTTCATGAGAAACCCATCCACATCAGAGGGTTCTGGTGATCATTGGACCAAAGTGGTCAACCAGAATGCCAAGTCTGGGATTTTTGAATTGAAATCCAGAATTCATATTTCTTCATGGTTGGACATACGGGTTGTGGAATGGCTGAATGTACTGGCAGGTAGACTAAGTAGCTGAGAATTATGGGGGAGATAATTCATTTTGCAAACAAATCAGAGGTGAGTGGCAGAAACAATGCTTCTAGACTCCCAAAGTAGACATCTGTTGTTTTTGCTTGCTTGGCATCCCTCCTCATTTTGTTAGCCGTGCCTTATTCTTCAGGGACTATCTCACTCCCATTCCATGTGGTCCTGGGAATAACTGACAAGTCAAGCCTACCAGCCTTGCTCCTTGAGCAGAGACTCAAGGCAGAAAAGGTGGCATCGTCATTTTGGTGATCACTGTTGGGAGAAACTATGAGTTTCTGCTATAGGATCCCTGGGCTGGCTAGATTGCTGTGCCTTCTGGGGTCTGATTGTTCAACAAGTTTTTGAATTCTGAGATCAAGGGTGTTTGCTATTTGCAATTTAAGAATCCAAACACATTTTTCTAAGGTCCTAGCTCAAATCCACATGGAGGCTTGTAGCATTCTGTTTTGGGGCTCATGATGTACTCTTGTATCAAGTATTTTTAGCTCATGGTGTTTTTGATATTTGTGGCTACACGTCTTAACTAGCACAGACCTACAGTCGACTCCCCTATTTATGTGGATGGTCCTGAGATGGACTAAAGCAGGTTCAAGGCTCTCTAGGTCCTACTCCAATCTTCAAGGTCATAACCAAGATAGTCTATTTTATCATTCTATAGCTTTCTGAAACATCCATTATTTGTTTGCATTTTGTAAGTATGAACATCTTGGGGAAAAATTCCTAACAAAGGTATGCTCTGTGAACAGTAGGATTAAAAGCTTATCAAACAGACACATGGTTCTAAATAATGTATGATCCCTTGAACAGGAGCCCAAATCTATTCCTGAAAAAAGAGCTCTTATTTCCTCTATCAAGCAACATTAAATGAAATTATAGCACTGCCATTAAATCCAATTGTACACCAGTAATTTTTCATTTCCAATGGTACTCTTCTTTATTAAAAAATCTTTATTAAATAACAAAATATTCCAGCTAATATAAGTACTTCCTTGAGCTCAATATTAATACACTTGGCACACAATTCAAGGCCATCTCCTCGAACTCAGGAAGTGCATGATTTTTTTCCTTGTGACGCAGCAAGTAGAGTTACAGTGACAGCCTCCCTCCTCCATTTCTCCGGTCAAGTCACAGAAGTGGTGAGGTGTGTGGGGTGTTCAAATGAGTAACTTCTTAAATCTGGATCCATGGAGCTAGATCTGGATCACATTATTAGAATTCAGAGATAATTGGTAAAAACAAAAAAACACAAACACAACAACCCCCAAACAAAAAAAGCACAGCATAGTACTAAGCAGCTTAAGTGATTAGCAATATTGTGATCCTTGGCAAACTCTGGATGGACCTTAATGAAACAGAACAGTGGGGCCTGTGCTAACAAAAATGCAATCATAAAGTCTGACCAGTCCACAGTGTTTCCTTTTCTAAGAGTCTAAGGAAGGTAAATATTATCTTGGAATATTCTCGTAAGGAATGTAAGGTAAATAAACGGAGGCAGTTTAAAAAGTATTCTTTTGCCCATCATACTTTATTTTTAATACAAATAGGTAATAAAAGGTACCCAGATATCTTATTAAACAAGAATACATTTCTGTGTATCAAGCCATCATTTACAGATTAACACTGCAAAAAGTTTGAATTAATAACTCTTAATTTGCTTCCATAAGATAAAGGCAATAAAAAAAATGATAGGGTGAGAACTAAGCAGTAAGAACCAATGCAAAGTCCTAAAATCTTGTCTCTGTATTAATTCTTTCACTGCCAAAAAATCACACGCATCTACAAAAAAAATGGAGGTATCCTTAACATTGAATGTTATTTACAAAATAACTTCATTTCTCTCACTTGCTTTGGATCCTGTGGGCCCACCTGGACATGGCCATTCTGGGCCCTGAAGCGGGGGCACCTCACACCAGCTCGTAGTATTTCCCCGTCTGGGGATCAAAGTAACAGTTCAGACACGGATCATACAGCAGAGTCAGCACTTCCTCATCCTCCTCCACACTTGGGTCTTCTTCACCTGCGGGAAGGGGAACCACAGACACATTAGCTGCCTGCCAGGCCTGGAGCTCCTGAATTGTGCAAGAGCAGGAGGGGCAAGGAGGCAGGAACCTCCAGTCCTCCTGGGAGAGGCTCACTCTGAGGGTGAACATCGAGGCCAGGATGGAGGAGCACTGCAGACGTGTAGACTCCGTACACGGTCTGCTTCACTGGAAAGGGACAAGAAAAGCTGAGTGTGGGAATGGGCAGGGAGGGCCAGAAGGAAGGGGCAGGGCCAAGCGATGAACAGGATCAGGGATATAGGAGTGGGATTCAAGACTTGAGGGTGACAGCTGCAGACTTCGTTGTGGGCCAGAGCTGTATGAGTGCACCCTAAAAATGCTACCAAGTAAACCGGAATTAAAATGATAATGTTTAGGAACACAAGTGCACAAAGCATAGAACACCAATGGAAAACCATCAGGTGATGCGATGTGTAATTTTATTAGAGGTAGGAAGTTTTGTCAAGTTTGCTAGTAACATGGACATGGCTTCATTTTTGTCTCTTGTGACCATGATTTAGACAGTTTGGAGGAACTCCTGCTGCCTGAGTGCTCAGTGAGTTTCCAACACATGGTTTCCAACATGTGGCATGGAATGAAAAAAAAACCTGTTCTACTAAGATCTTTCCTGAGCACCTTACTGTGCCCAGTGTTGTGCTAAGTGCTTGTGTGCTTGATGCCATCACCAGCAAGCCAGTGCCTTCTGAGTACTTCTGAAAACCACGTAATAGGAGCCCAGAAGCCAGGAGGGTGAGACTTTCCTGAGCTGGAAAGGATCAGAGTAGGCTCAGGAAGGAGGGTGATTAGGCTAACACCCCTCCCTCCTCCTTAGCCAGGCTACAGAGGACTAGAGAAAACCCAATCCCTGGGGCTATGAGCTCACCAGGGTTACGGTGGTGGGCTTGGGTTTGGGTGGTGGGCTGGCACGAAACAGAGGCTCAGTCAATACTGAATATGTCTGGAAAGGGTGATCGTGGAACAAAGTCTATGATTAAAAGGGTGACCGCCCAGAGTAAGGGAAGGTGGTGGGACTCCATCTTTTCCAAATCAGAGCAAGCTGGTGCATGGACCCTGTCGGGACAGTGACAAACCTGAGTTAAGTCCCATGGAGCGGGGCCAAGATGGTGAAGTCGGGGTCTGAGACTCTACCACAGCCATTCCTCTGACCACCCAAAGACCTACAACTCGATCGCCCCTGCACCAGGCACTGAGTGAGGCGCTGGGGATGAGCTGGTCAAAGAAGCAGGCCCTGTTCTCAAGGAGCGTGCAGGGACTTGGGCAAAACACAAAAGCAGCTGACTCTCTCATGGGCTGCATGCAGGGCCAGCAGTCCTTAAAAAGTGGAGCTAATGGAGGAATGGTACACCTTTGCCTTGTTTGCCAACATCTCAACTGGCGGAGACCCCGATGGCTTAGAAGGCACTTCCCCTGGGAGCCCAGGAGGTTCAATTGGTGAAGCACCTGCCTTCTGCTCAGGTCATGATCTGGGAGTTCTGGGATTGAGCCCCGAGCGGCCTCCCCACTCAGTGAGGAGCCTGCTTCTCCCTCTGGCCCTCACCGTGCTTGTGCTCTCTCTCAAATAAATAAATAAAATCTTAAAAAAAAAAAAAACTCATTTAAAAAAAGAAAAGAAAGAAAAGCACTTCCCCATGCAGTAGCTCACTTGAGCCTCTGTTGAAAGAGGCAGGAATTACAGGGCCTGTTGGACAGATGAGGGAAGCAAGGTATGTAGGGTTAACCAGCTCACCTGAGGTCACTTGCTGAGTCAGAGTCAGGGATGACCTTGGGTTTCCAGACTCTCAGTTCTGTGTTCTCTCTACCATACTGGTGCCCTGCTTTTGTTAAGAAGGTGGTGGAACACATTCAGTCAGGATCTCTGATATTATGGGAATTTAAACGCAGAAGAGGGTGAAAAAAAATTGTCCTACATTTGAAAAAACTCAGGCTTGGAAACAAAAGAAATTTCATTTCTCATGCTTCAAAAATCAAAGATGAGAGAAAGAGAGATGTGGGAGGGCAGAGGCAAAATCTGGGCTTATTAACTCCAGAAAAGACAAAGCTTGAGGTGACAGCAGCCTTCCTGGCTGCAGGTACATAAAGGGTGATAAATGAAGAGAGAAGCTAAAGAAGATTCTATGGGGTTCCAGGAGGAAGCAAGAGGATTGGCGAGGGAAAGTTCCAAGGAGCCAGGTTTTGGCTCAGCTCAGGGAAGACATTTCTCAACAGTAGAGCTGACCAGGAAATGGGACGTGGCCCTTGAGGAGGGTGAAGCGGGGAGGGGGGGCGCTGGGCCACCACTTGTGTGAGATTTTACTGTGCAGGGCCAGATCCAATGATCCCTGCTGTGCCTTTGATGAGTTCCTGAAACTCTTGGCTGCAGTGGCTTATGTCCTTGAAGTGTGACAGGACTTTGCTAATGACCACGTTAATGGTGGTGGCTGACCTGAGCACCCTGCAAGGTTTCTAATTAAGAACACAAAATCAGAGAAGGCAGGCTGCCTCTCCTTTCCTTTCTATTGTTACCTTAAGAGCAGTCCCTAGGGTCCTGCCTCCACTTTCTTCCTTTAGGTAGGAGAGGTTGGGAATGCTTTTCAAGCGGCTGTTTCTCATGGAAGATGACCCCCTTTAGGTCACTTCTGCACATCAAAAGGAGGGTGTGCATGTCCTTTACCTTCACATATCCAATCCATCATCCCTTTCTTATTTGGGCTACTTCAGAGAACAGAATCAGTAAGTAACTAATGTGTGCCTGCTATGTGATGATGCTGTCTATTAAATCCGTCCTATGTCTAGGTGTGGATGTGACATTCACACATGAAACAAAAGCAGCTACTGAAGACTAATGAGGCGGGGGGATAATTCAGGACTCTGAGCCTTAGTCGTCTTACATGCAAAGATAGTAAAACTACCCATGATAGTACCTCGGAGAACTAAGTAAGATACTCTGTAACCGTCCACACAGAGAATATTCAATAAATGTTGTTATAAATGTCATCATGAAAAACGTAAGATACCGGAGTTAGACACAAGAGGGGTATGTTTGCTTGTATCTTATTCCCTATCCCCAAACTGTGCCTGTTTGATTTTTTGCTACCAAAAGAAGAAATGGTGGATTTGAACAAAATACAAAGCCCCCAATTCATTTTATAAAGGACATGGCAATTAATGCTTCTTTAAATAAAAAGATTTCTTACAACCAAAAGTCACGTATTTTTCAAAAAGTAAAGAGAATTTTTCCATCAGGTGTAATGTTAAAATCGCATATCACAGAGGTAAATGATAATGAGTCTACATATCTCAGGGGTCTGCTGTCCGATGCTTCCTTTTTACTCCATCCACACATTGGGGGAAATCCACACATTCTGACCTCTGGCAGGTAAGTTCCTTGCCATATAACTGCTTAGCACACTCTGCGCTGGTACTCTCCAAAAAGATAAAACTTTAAGCTGGCGCTATGAAGTTAGAAAACTCAATATATTTTATGACCAGTTAGGAATCTTTCGAGATGAAAATAACAGTTGTAATGGGCCATGGGTCTTTATCACTGAACTGCAAGGGGATCGAGGTGGATCCAATTCATTAGTAGGCGTTTTGCTACATAATGCATATAAACTGAAGCAGTAACTGCTATATAAATGCATTAGTTCCAATACATATCACTATAAAACTGGAACCTCATGCATTATAACCATGGGACTAAAGCAGGTTTCGTGGCTTTTAGTACTAAAGCTTTAAATGGGTGAATTTTAAAACTCTACCAACAATGATACTCATACAAAAATTGGGTGACATTATGTATAATTTTACATTGAAATAAGTGCTTTAAACTTGTATAAAAGGTTTTGTTTTCATTATAACTTAATTTTCAAAGCTTCCAGTTTACATCACTTAAGCCATTGTAGTCCCTACGTAATGAAATTATAATATCATTAAGCAATTACCACTATGATGTCAAGCAATGGGAAATGTTTTGAAAGGTAATTATTGTGCATGGGTATGGGGTAATTTTCAATTATATTCTTGGATGGTGCAGAGTTTGTTTTTCCCCAAAATGCTAAATTGCTCTATTTAAAGACTGGCTACAGAAACTCTAAAAGGACAAATTAACAAATAAAACCATTCTCTGCTACAAGACTAAGAGCATCTGGACAGGGGTCCAAATTACATTTTTACTCTTCTCCACATAATAAAGTCATTTCCAGTGAAATAAAATTGCCTTTCAGATAATAATCTATTTACAAACTTCCAGCTTTATCCACTTTGAAATTGGTTAACAGCAATAACAGAAGAAGAACCAACGGAGCCAAACCAGATTCAGCAATATTAGCTGCCCTCCCCTCTGTTAGATTAGCTCAGGCAAATAATCCCTTCAGTTCACCTTTTGAAAGTCTATTAATATAAATGCTTAATTATCTATATTTATTGCATTTTAACCATAGATAATAGAAAACCTATATGCGCAGGCTGAGTCTTCAAGCTTGAAAACAAATAACACGGCATCGGTTTATCAGATTTAAAATCTCTGAATCAAGACACTGTACTTGATTTTCGATTTTCTGACGCTGCTATCCAGAATTTTTTTTTATAAAAGTTAATGCATTTTCTCTCTTATAGATCTTGAGAAGTGATTGACTGTATTTTTATGTGCATACTAATACACTACAGTTTAAACAATTCAATGGTGAGGGATCACCATTCCAAACAGTCAGCCTTAGGATCAATAAAGATGACATTTTAGATAAGATTCTGCTGAGCCTCATGTGCTTGCAGACTCTTCCACTAATGCCGCTCACAGTAGGGCAAAATTAACTTGCACAAAACCCCGAGAAAGTCTCCCGTGAACTGCTGAATTTTGGGTTTTCAGCAAATATATGTCCTCAAATGAGGGAAAGATAAATGACCAAGGATGGGATAAAAAGGATGAAAAGATACTTTCTTCTATTAGAAAACTATATTGTTTCTTGGAAGGCAAATAACA